CTAAAGTTGAAAAAGTGAAAAAGCATAATAGGACCCCTTTAATTTCAGATCAATATGGATTAATGGAGACAGGAAGCACTGTAGGTCTACATCACGTAATATACTCGCCGTTGACACTCTAGAAATGTCAGCTCGAATATGCACCAGGTCCTCTTGAAGGAGTCGCTGCTGGTAGGCGATCTTCTCAGCGTGAGCTGGCTGATACTTGTACTGCTCCATCTGCTGGTGGGACACATCCAGAACAGACTCAAGCTTGTCCTAGAAAGAAAGAACAAAGATATTAACACGGACATACCCATAATAAAAGGATCAACGCAACAGCCGTGCTTTTCTTCGGAAAATGTGCCTCACCTTATCATCCTTAAGTCCACTGAGTCTGAACTCAAGCTCTTGCAGTATTTTGTCTTGTTCACACAATCGACTCAGAGTCACCTGCAGTAGGAAACAGAGCATTATGGACCAGTTCAGACTAGGAAATTGGGTTAGGGCACTGGTTTGTCCTCTATACTCACATCTACATCACTTTCTGCCACCTTCACTGGCTTTGCCGGCCGTCCTTTCAGACTCTCTGTCGCACTCACCTAATAAACAATTCACAGATAAAGCCTCCTTGTCTTAGAGCTCCAGAGACAGAAACACATCTATTTATTCAACACAAGCAAAGCAAGACCAACACTATACAATGGACACTGTATTGAAAGTCACAGTGAGAAGCTTTGAGACAGTATTCTTCATTTCTAATGCACATATGTAGGAGCTGAAGCTTTCTGGAAGCACAATGGTAAGATGGTGTCTCACGATCTTCATGCCAACAGAATACAGCTGTGGGACATAAAAGCAATGTCTAAAATAAAGGCTCCACAGAAAACGCTGCATGGTCAACTCATAAAAGAAACCCAAGCTCTGGACAACGATGAACTGGACGGTGTGGGGGAGGAACTAACTAAAAATAGCAAAGCTACAACGGTTTCAAAACAGTGCTACCTGTACTTTTTATTTTCGCATTATTTCACACACAGCCTTGCAGCCAAGCAAGAGGAGTCAAACTTGAATGTTTCTTTCTTTCAAATAGTGCTGGGAAGGCCTATTTAAATCATGTAAGAAGATTCATTTAAATGAACTGGATCAAAAACTAATTTACAGATGCATATTTAAATAATTTAAATCAGCATTTTACGTCTTCTTTTTGTAGA